GAAACCCGAAAAACCCGGTAAAACCCAGTTTTTGGGTGTTTTTACGAAAAAAAGTAATTTCTTTTTTATTTTTAATGCATTTTTTATACCAATAAAATTGCAATTTCAATACCTTAAAAAGAAAAACTATGTAATATATTTATATATTTATTTAAGAATGAACATCATGCCAAATTATAATATAGATGTACAATAAAAATAAAAATATCATTATATATTTTTATAAGATCAAAATATACATTGAAATATTATAAGAGTGTATTAAATGCTTAATAAGTAGTATTGTAAGTTGATTATTATGAATAATAACTAATTTTTATTATAATTTTATATATAATTATATGTTTACTATTATTGTATAGACGTGTAATCATTGACCGGTTTTCCGGCGTTGACCGGGTTGACCCACCGGGTCCGGGTGGACCCGTGACCCAATCATGTGGCCGGGTCACTCTCCGGTCCGGTTTTTACAACATAGATTTTTCATATAATATTTCTTTATTTTATTAAGGAAAAACACAGTCAAAGAAGCCATTCTACAGTTCTCAATCAATCACTTAAGCCCCTGCACTAAAAAAGTATTACATAAGTTTGTCTATTTTTTAAAATACAATCAACCAAGCCATTTGACATGCTATATCAGGTTATTCTTTTTTTTAAAATTAATTAGAAATATTGATAAATCTTACAAATTTCATATAAATTTGAATAAATAATCTAATAATAATATACATAATCGAATAAAAATAGATAAGTTTTAGAAACATTAAAAAATCATAAAACTGAAAGAATAAAGTGAAAATATAAAAAAAATATAAAAAATTTAAAAACATTTAAAATAGATGTAGAATATAAAAGTTTTTTTGAAAATTAAGAAATATTGGGTTTGATATTCTGAAAAATTTCAAAAATTTCAAAATTTAAATTTCTTCAAATTTAACAATTTTTTTAAAGTTTTTAACTATTAAAAACCCGCTGTTACATGTCAAAAACTGATTAAATGATCAAATTGATCAATTTTGCAAAGTAGGGGTACTTGTATGATACTCGTTTTTAGTACAAGGGCTTATGTGACTGATTGGAGATAGGTGAAGGGCTTATTTGACCCTTTTTTCTTTTATTAACACAAAATATTTTAAGTATAGTTTTTCCATAAATCAGCAGAATTATCCAATCCAACTACTTCAGCTAGAACTTCATAAATTTCAGCAGAATCAACCGATTCAGCCAATTTTAGTGTTACCAAACGGGCTCTTAGAAATGGGAAGAAATGAATGTTACAGCTAAAACATGAAAGTGATAAGAGATGATTGTTACCGAGGGAGTATGAAGGTTTTATTGAATTTCTTTAGTTTGGTTTGGTTCGGTTTAATACGATTTGAAAGGAATACTACCAAACTCAAGCCAAATTGTATATGGGCTAATTTCGATTCAGTTAAACCAAATCAATATATCCACCCCTACTCACTACGTATTAAGTATTCCGTACTACTCCGTACATATTTAACTTGAGCACGGGCGGCTGTAGGACTGAAGGTCAAGGGGACAGATTTTTTTTCCGTTAATGTAGGCCGGGGAACCTTTTCACCAATGTAGGGCTCTGCTATTTTTTATTCAAAAAATCTCATTAGTGCATTGTTGGGGAATATTATCCCGACCTATATACTACTCTTCAGAGGCCCAATTCACCGCCCCGGTACGGGGCCCGGTCTGCGAGGCTCATTTAGGCCCACCCGGCCTACTTGGGCTTGCCTCGGCCCATTAAGGCCCTCTTAAAATAGAAAAACCCTCCCCCTCTCCTATAAATAGGGGGAAGGCTTCCATTCTAAGGATCCCTTTTTTGGAGCTCTTTGGATTAGAATAATGCTTCAACCTCCATTAATGGAGTGCAATATTTGTACTATGTAAATGGTGAGGAGAACGTATTAATGAGAAAGAGCGGGCTAGGGCGTTAGCCTAAAAAGTCCCATGATTTTCTTCCTTTCCGGATACATTTTATATTCTTTATTTTACTTCTATACCAAATTCATCGTCCCTAATATCCAAAGTTTATGTTGGGCTTTCGGATCAACAGGACAAAACCTCAACATTGGCGCCGTCTGTGGGATCTTAGGGTGAGAAGTAATAACGTATTATTAATGATCAAAGGTAGTATTTATAGTACAAGAGTCCTGAGCTAGGGAAACTATACAAAGCTATACAACCAGGCCAGGCCCCAATACATACAATACATAATTATGTCGTAATACGCCCCCGCAAGATGGAGGTTCCATTGGAAACTCCAAGCTTGGATCGAAAATGCTCAAACAAGGACTGTCCCAGCGACTTGGTTAGTGCATCTGCAATTTGTAACTTGGTGGAGATGTGTGAAACTCTTAATTGACCACGTTGAATAAGTTCCCGAACAAAGAAAAAATCCAATGCATGATGTTTCATCCGAGAGTGAAAGACAGGATTAACACAAACATAGGTAGCACCTTGATTATCACAATATAGTACAGGTGCAAAAGGCAAGTGAATCCCCAACTCATGTAACACATTTTTGACCCATAAAATTTCGGCACTGGCATTGGCTACAGCTCGGTACTCTGCTTCGGTAGATGAACGAGAAACACTCTTTTGTTTGGCGGACTTCCAAGATATAATATTAGGACCAAGATAGAGAACATAGGCCGTAGTAGACCTCCCATCATCAGTTGTACCACCCCAGTCTGAATCAGAAAAGGCAGTAAGTTGTAGACCCTGAGATTTATGTAGATACAAGCCATAATTCAACGTACCTTTGAGATATCGAAAAATACGTTTGACAGCCTTCCAATGCTCAACGGAAGGGCAATGCATGTACTGCGAAAGACGATTTACGGCAAATGATATATCAGGCCGAGTGAAAGACAGGTACTGCAGCTGACCAAGTGCACGTCGGTAAGTGGTGACCTCGGCAAAGGCTGCTGCCGAAAGAACAGGACCTGCACTCATGGGCGTGACCGCCGGTTTGATGCCTAGCATGCCGTGACTCTCAAGAATATGGAGAATGTATTGTCGCTGAGATAAGAGCATACCAGTAGAGGTAGGAATAACCTCAATACCAAGAAAGTGATGAAGAGAACCCAAGTCTTTTACAGAAAATGCCTTGGTGAGTTGAGAAATAAACTGAGTAAGCACAGAGTTAGAACTACCTGTCAGTACAATATCATCCACATATACCAGAAAATATATAAAAACACCCGCATGATTATAAATAAATAGAGAGTGATCCGTTTGGGAACGCCGAAAACCCATGCGAAGCAAAAATCGGGATAATGCCAAGTACCAGGCACGGGGGGCCTGCTTGAGTCCATACAAGACCTTCTTAAGACGGCACAGGTGGTTAGGATGACGAGGATCTTCAAAACCAGGTGGCTGCACCATATATACCTCCTCCTCCAAGGTGCCATGCAAGAAAGCATTATTAACATCTAGTTGTCTGATTGGCCAGGCCCGAGACAAAGCAATCGTAAGAACAATACGTAAAGTTGCTGGCTTGAATACATGACTGAATGTCTCAGAATAGTCACGACCAGGCTGCTGGAGAAAACCACGGGCAACTAGACGAGACTTGAAGCGAGCTATACTTCCATCAGAGTTGCGCTTCACCCGAAAAATCCAACGACAGGTAATCGGAGTATGATGAGCACGAGGAACCAGATCCCACGTATGATTACGTAGTAAGGCTTGATATTCTTCATTCATAGCTTTCTTCCATCGGGAATCCTGCAAAGCAATCTTCAAAGAGGATGGTTCAAGTGTAGGGGAAATGGGATGCATATTAGTATTATTCACAAAGACACCACTATAATATCTTGGATTGGGTTTGCGTTGGCGGACTGGGCGAGAAGAGGTGGCTGGGTCTGGAGTAAGGGTTGGCAAGGGGGGAGTTGGATTTGGCATAGCAGTAGATGTTGTAGGTAGAGGAATGGCAGTGTGAGGAGCTGCAGTTTTGGTGGGTTTACTGGTGGCCGTAGGAAAGAAAAACGGAGGAGGTGTTGTGCGAGGGAATGCCAGCATTGGAGGTCCACTATGTACGACAGGTGACGGGACAGGCGAGAGAAACGGGAAGACGCTAGGAACAAACCGGACATGACGGGAGACATAGACACGACCCGAGTGATGATCCAGACAGTAAAAGGCAGACTGGGTGAGAGAATAACCAAGAAAGACACACGGAACAGATCGAGGTTGTAGTTTAGTAGATGAATAGGGCCGAAGCCAGGGATAACACAGGCAACCAAAAGGCTGAAGTTTGGAGAGATTGGGCGTTTGGTTATGTAATTTGGAATAGGGAGAGGCTCCATGAAGGGTAGGGGTAGGCATTCTATTGATAAGATAGACTGCAGTAAGGAACGCATAAGACCAATACTGAGTAGGTATCCCAGCATGATGCATTAATGCCAGACCAGTTTCAACAATATGACGATGTTTGCGCTCAGCTAATCCATTATGCTCAGGTGTGTGAGGAGGTGTGGTAAAGTGAGAGATGCCATGGTTGTTTAGGTAAGGACGCAATTTAATAAATTCACCGCCGTTGTCTGAAAAAAATTTAATTATTGGTGAATTAAAATATTTTTCAACAAGACGATGAAATTGAGGAAAAATTGTGGCAACATCAGATTTTCTCTTTAAAGGATATAGCCAGATATAACGAGTAAAATAATCCACAAAGATAACATAATAAGAATAACCATCAATGGAAGGAACACTGGAACTCCATACATCAGAATAAATTAATTCTAACGGTTTGGAAGCAACCATCGTATTATTAAAGAACGGAAGTTTATGACTTTTGCTAATAGAACAAGGCATACAATGAAAACTAGGAGAAAACTTAGTGTTTGAATTAGAAGATAAAGACTGCATGACACGACGCGAAGGATGACCAAGTGTGTGATGCCAGGTGGATTGAGTGACGTTGACATTAGCGGAAGTGGAGACTGGTGCATAGTAGACATCATGCTGATTCACCCCTCGCAGAAGTGGCGCCCCCGTGATGCGATCCTTCACAATAAAATAAGTAGGGAAAAATTCAACAGAAACAGGATTAGTTTTGCAAAGCTTGGCTACAGAGATAAGGTTCTTTTGTAGTTTGGGGACACATAAAACATTGGATAAAGATAGGTTACGGGTAGGGGTAGATAAAATAGTGGTACCTTTATGAGTAATATTAAGTGACTTACCATCCCCTAACTTAACCTCCTCGGGTCCTCCATACTCCGAATAAGTAGGCAATTGAGACACATCAGACGTGATATGATGAGAGGCACCGCTGTCAAATAACCATGGTTGATGCTGCATGGAAGGAGGAGCAGAGACATAGTTAGCGTGCGGACCCGGCTGTGGTATGATGTTGTGGTTCCTAAGAAAACGCTGAAGTTTGCGGCAATTTTTAACGTCATGTCCGATGTTGTCACAAAAATGACATTGGAGCTGCCGATAAGCTCCACGGCCTCCTCCAGGAGCGTACGAACCACGGCCACGACCACGCTGACCAGAAAAACCACCATGGCGGACACCCTGATTTTCGCCGTCTCGCTGGCCAGGCAAGTCGCGGTTTCCTCGCTGTCCGGAGGTGTAGTTCGCCGTAGGAAGCAGTGGCGGGGAAGTTGAGTGCACAGCGGCCTGCTTGGCTTCGTGCTCAAGGAGGATGTCCTGAAGGGCAGTGAGTGGAAGAGGGGTCTCCCGAACCCGAACGGCAGCAAAAGTATCAGAATATTCCGGGCCAAGTCCATTGAGAATTCCAATGACAAGATCTTCTTCGGACATAGGGTTTTGAGCGAGCGCCAAAGCGTCAGCAAGTCCTTGCATCTCGGCTAGATATTCAGTAATGGATTTTGTGCCTTTAACAGTTTTAGCAAAGGTAGACTTGAGCGACATGATTCTACCACGAGATAAACCGACATAGGTTTGAGAGAGGCGATCCCATGCCTCCTTAGCCGTGCTGGCCGAAGAGATAATAGGCTGGATGTTGTCGGAGCAACTGCCTAGAAGAGCACTGAGAATAGTTTTGTCCTGACGGTACCAAGTTTGATATACCGGATTCAGAGTGGATTTGTCCGCACCAAGGTGACGAGCTGGTGGTGTAAGGGTGCCATCAACATATTCTTCCAGGCCAAGTCCAATGAGAGCAGCGAAAACCTGGGATTTCCAAACAGGGTAATTGGAGGAGGTGAGTTTGATGGGAAAGTGCGTAGAAGCCGTGATAGAGACCACGGTGGAATCGGCGTTGAGCACCATAGCGTGACAGAGATCGAAGATGCAACGGCACAGAACCCTAGGTGTAGCTGCCGTATACGATCGAAGGAGTATACCGAAAAAAAAAAAATTAATGAGATGTTTTAGCTCTTTTGGAGTGTGGCTCTTGATACCATCTTAGGGTGAGAAGTAATAACGTATTATTAATGATCAAAGGTAGTATTTATAGTACAAGAGTCTTGAGCTAGGGAAACTATACAAAGCTATACAACCAGGCCAGGCCCAATACATACAATACATAATTATGTCGTAATATGGGAAACAGTTCAAAAAGTTACATGTGTTCTTGCCATCTCTACAAGAATTTGATAGGAAAATGAAGTGATTTCAACGAAGAAAAGAAGTGGAAGAAACGAATTTGGAAAAAACTTGAAACTGATGGAGTTCTGGATCTAATCTAGCAGCTTGGTCCTTGTCACTGCAGCCCCACAAACTTCGCCGGACCTACTGGATGGAGGAGCTCCGAAGGAAGATGACTGTGCTAGCAGCAAGAAGAAACCAGATGCTTAATAAAAAACAAACCATCCGTGGAAGAATATGTTGAGTGGGACCCACCAGCCACTAACTTGAGATGAAGTTGTTTATTTTGTATGCTGAATAAACGGTCAGATTCAAGCAAAATAATCAATTTAATATTGTTCTTAGATTACAGTGTCAATGAAAAACTTCATTTATTAATATAAATTTATTTCACTACGAATTTTTAAAAAATCACATTTAAAATTAACTAAATTACGCACTGCCCGTGCATCGCACGGGCTTGAAAACTAGTTAAGCAAATAAAATGAAACTGTTCGATCAAGAAAAGTCAAATTTGCAAATCAATTTGGGACGGAGGTAGTATACATAATTTAAGAAGATAAACATAAATCTCCTTGATGTAGTAACTATATAATTCTGTTTTATTTGGAAAGATCGTCTAAACCTTTAAATGATTACTCCCTCCGTTTCTATTTGTTTGACATAGTTTGACTTCTCCAATATTAAGGAAAATATTTACTGAGGGATAAGTTTTACTATTTGGACACTGTTTGACACTGTTTTGTTTACCAAATAAAAAGTGTGACAATCATTTTAAAACGTCCAAAAAAGAAAAGTGTGTTAAACAAAAGGAAACGGAGAGAGTATTATATAAATCGATGAATCAGGTTCAGAAAAAGGCTGAGAAATAGAGCCTGTAAAGTAGGGGTGGGCAAATCGGTTTACGGTTCGGTTTTCTTCGCTTTCGGTTCGGTTTATTCGGGTTGGGAGAATTTGTACCAAACTAAAACCATTTGTGTTTCGGTTTGATTTCGTTTCGGTTTCGGTTTGGTTCGGTTTGAAGTTTGGTTTTTACCAAAGTAAAAACTATTAGGTTTAATTTAGTTCGATTTGATTCGTTTTCTTATGTTTATTATAATATTATTGATTCGTTTTAGAGTTAGAAAATGAAAGTAGTAGTCCATCTCATCTTCTTTTATTGATTATTTAAATACAATGTAAATTAAAACTTCTAACATCTTTTTGATCACTAGAAAAAGAATCACTTCTAAAAAAAATAGATTATAGTTGATTAATATTTATAATAAGGAGGAGTCCGAGTATCACATAAAATATTAAAAAAAAAAACTAAATGAGTCGGTGGTACAAATGTTATAATATTCATAATTTTATTCAAATGAATTATGCAAAAATATAAATACAATCTGCCATTGTTATCACCAAACTTAACAAAAACAAATATGTCATATTATTAGCTAACTTTGTCATAATGAATGTATGAAGTGTGTAAAAGTTAAAATGATATATGTTAAATATGTATTTTTCATGTCCAAATTGTTTATTTATATATTTTAAAAATGAAGAGTGAAGATAAATAATACCTCCGTCCCACTAAGATTGGGACGAGAGAAGGTGACACGATTATCAAGAAAAGTATGTGTGTGTGGTTGATATTAAATTGATAAAGTAAGAATAAAGTTAAAATGATTTAGAGCGACACAATATTTACCAAATATGGTATGAGACAATCTTAGTGGGACTTCGCGAAAAGGTAAAATAAGACAATCTCTGCAGGACAGAGGGAATATAAAGTGTATATATATATATATATATATATATATATATATATATATATATATTTAGGTTCATGTGAGAACTTAATCTTAGGAGAGGAAAAAAGAATAGATCTTAGCCATTGAATTAATCTTGTTTTAGGGAGGATCACATATACTCTCTTTGGGCTAATATGACATTTTACTATGTTTCCTTATTTTACTCCATTTCAACCGTATTGTTTATCCCTATTTTTTTTTTGCTGCATTTAATGCTCTCTTCTTATCCATTAGCTAGGAGTTATCTATTTCCATAATTACTAAAACAATGCAAAATTGCAAAAGTAGGACTACTATGTTTTATTATCTAAAATAGGACTCCAAATTACATTTTTGTCCTTCCTATTATTAAACCCAAAAACCCTGCATCGACCACACACATCTATCGTCTCTCCCTCTTCATCGATAGTAGCTGGATAGTAGTCGCATCGCCACTGCCCCTCCACCATCAACAGTAGCCAAACTATAGCCGCACCACTGCCATGAACAGATGGATTGCTCCACCTCCGCCATCAGCGGTAGCCGTCGCCGCTGCTCTGCGATTTCTCAGGTGAAGCCAAGTAAGTTACTTCTTCTCCACTTCTCCTCCTTCTTCTCCGTCTTCCTCTTCTCCTCTCATCCTCTTCTTGTCATCTGCTTGCTCTCTGTTTCTTTAATTTCTATCAAATCAAAATTTGGATTTGAAATTTCATCCTCTTCTTGTCCTCTACTTGCTCTCCGCTTCTTTATTTTCTGTTAAATCAAAATTTGAGTTTGAGAATTTTAGATGGACTAGTCTTCAAAAAAGAACAATTGATTGGCAATACCTCAATTTGAATATTTATTTATTATTAATTTTGATTTTGAGAATGCCCCATAAGTGATTACAAGAAAAATGTCACTTTCAGAATCTCAAAATGTCATAATTATTGAATATTTAAAAAAATGTCACTTTTATGGCATTATTGTTGTCTATGTCTTATCTAAATCTATATTTATACAGCAGAAAATGTCATGTTTTCAATGAAAATGTCATTTTAAATTTATGTCATTACTCTTATTAAGATGACATTTTCTTGCAACCCACTTAAAATGTCATCTTAGTGACATAGAAATGACATATGTTTGTCAAACTGGACAAAAACATGTCATTCAAAATTTTGTAGTCCCAGAGTAATATAGACATCTTGATAGATATAATGTCATTAAAGTGACATTTTTTCTAATTACTAGTAGATCAAAATGTCATCTTAGTGGCATTCTCAAAGTCCAAATTTAGTCAAAATTAATTAATGAATAGATAAAACATTTCAAATCCAAATATTTTCAATCATTGATCGCTCATTGAAATCTCTCTTTTCATGTACATGTTTTCATATCTGAAATGTTTTTTATTTAATTTGAAAAGCAGAAAAAACAAATAACAAATCAAAACAATCCAAAGAAAAAGAAGATGCAGAGAAAGAATGTGCAGAGGACCAAGAAGAAAACAGGGACTAGAAAGATATAGAAGAAGAAAAAAGAAATAAAAAGAAGATTACCTGCATCGATGACTTTGAGAGCTAGCTATGATCGATGGTAGAGCTCAGGTCCATGGCAGACGGAAGAATTGTGGCGGAGTAGTTGCGATCGACAATATGTATACGCGTGAGAGAAGGGGAGACTTTTGGGGTTTAATTATAGGGAAGGGGTAAAAATGTAATCCGAAGTCCTATTTAAGAAATAATAAACTTAGAGTCCTAAGTTGGAGTTTAGACCATGTTTTAGTCCTATTTAAGACAATTACTTTTTCCATTATTGTTCCTTTGTTTAATTTCTTTCTTTCTAATTTTACGTGCTACAATTTTTATAATCCATTATATTACATAATTTATACCTTTCAGGGTTGCTGCATTTTTAATTTATATTAATGCGTGTCTTTAGTTTCATGTATTATTATTATTATTATTATTATTATTATTATTATTATTATTATTATTATTATTATTATTATTATTATTATTATTATTATTATTATTATTATTATTATTATTATTATTATTATTATTATTATTATTATTATTATTATTATTATTATTATTATTATTATTATTATTATTATTATTATTATTATTATTATTATTATTATTATTATTATTATTATTATTATTATT